GTCCGCCGGCACGGAATAGCTTTTGCAGGCTAGTCAGTACGCACTTGAACTCCACTTCGCGAGCCAGCAGCAGCAGCATGAGGTGAGATGCAAGCGCAAGTGACAGGTGAGTGAAGCACTGGCCGGCACAGCATGAAGGCGCGTGTGAGTGGGCGAGCGAACGGGAATGGGGAATGAGACAATGCAGCGAGTGCAGCTGTGTAGCCGCAGTGAGTGGATGGAGTGCCAAGGCAGTGAGAAATCAACAACGGAATGGGGAAGGTGAGACGAGAAACCGAGTGAACCAGCGACGGAATTCAGAGAGCAAGCGAGTGCTTGAGTAGACTCGGTGCGTGCGTCGACTCGACTGGAGACAGTAGAGAGGGTGAACCAACAAGTGCATGACTGCCGGAATCGAGCAATTGGCAAGTTGAGTAAGCGAGTATAGCTGATGAGTCAGCAAGCGACTGAGCAATTCATTGAGGGAGTGCATGCCAGAGACGGGTAGGCAAACAAGGGCAGGCAGTGAGCCAGTGCCAAGTTGAGTATGCGAGCAAAGCTGAGTGACTGAGCAATTTATTGAGAGAGTGCACGCAAAGGCTCAATGAACTACTGCGACGGGCGCGGCTCCGCGAGCGAAAACTGCGGATGCATGAAATTGGGCTGTACAGTACATGGACTGAGACGTACGCAGAAGTGCACGCAGCGAAAAAAACTGCATGCTGATCAGTGAGAGGACGAGGTGAGACGAGCGAACTGGAATGTTGTAGTAAGTAGAGATAAATGAGCAGTGATTGAACACAGAGAGTGCGCAGTAGATTGACAAGTGACTGCGTGAGTGCTCGATCGAGAATGAGAGCCTGAGTTGAGCCAGTGAGCGAGCAAGTGGTTGAAAGAGGGGAGTGGAGAAAGCCAGACGGTAAAAGTAAGCAAATGTTTGCAGACGCGGTGAAGGAGGGAGTGAAAATGTGAATAAGTAGAGCAATCCGCCGACATGCGGGGAAGTAACAAGGCAGAAACAAGTGAATGACCGAAGGATGGCGAAAGCCCTCGCATACAAGCACCGCCACGCCGTTTCAAGGAATGCATACCATGACCACGAGTCCAGGAACCTTCACTGCCCCCCAGCCCCCACCCGAAAAGTGACTGTGCCTGCAGACTGCCAGTTCAAGGCTTAGCCCAAGCTCAGGAGCTTGAGGTCTGGGGTGCTACACTTCTTTCGTCTTCAGACTGTCCTTCGCACTTGCACAGGCCCATCATCCCAGCGATCGTGCCTTTCGCTGCTGTTCGCCCAGCAGCACCGTCGCGACCCTTCAGTGGTCTCAAGGCCTCGCCGGCACTGATGATCGCAACGGAAAAGCCCCCACAAACCGCAGCCAAGTCGAGACAGCCGAGACGCCTATCATGCTCTGGTCGTGGAGCATGTCCTGCAGCACTCTCGAATCACCCCTTGCCACCGGAAAAGGACCACGAGAAAGGCCCGTGCCTGGACGGCCCCATGGAAAGGATTGCTGATTCCCTTCTCCTTCGTGCCAGGGCATCGTCCAGGAATGTGCAGGACCTCACACTGCCCCTTCGGCTGACCTTGCCCAACAGATCCGCGCCGGTGCAATCTCGGAGCCAGATCTGCCTGGCTTGCACGACAGGCCCTCGCATGTACTAGAGAAGCAGCCCAGGCTTGCAGCTGGCCTCTCTGACAAACGCTGCTGTGCAGACACCTCCCGCGCGCGCGCCGCGGGTCAAGCTGAACATCTTCGCTGCTACTTACGTTGGTGCCTCGGAGGTTGCGAGCGCCGCTTCCTGGCAGCGCAGCTCGAAAATAGCTGGCTGAGGCAGCAAATTGAATGCAGCATCACTTCTGGTGAGTTCGGCTCTGCCTCCACTCCACAGGCTGTGCACAGTTCGGCCAAAGCCTCCAAGGCGGAACTAGACGGCCGTGCTGGCCGAAGTTGACGCATGTTGACGCACTGCTTATGAAGAGGGACTTTACCAAACCGCGGGGGAAGTGGCACTGGTGCGACAGCAGAGAGATCCGGCTCGACGATCTGTCAAAGAAAGTCCCTGCCTTAACCGCAGCCCTCGTCTTGTCGTTCGCTGGCTCCTGGGGTGTGCTCGCGGTCGCAGTCCGGGAACACTGCCGCATGCTGCAGCTCTCACCAGTTCATGTCAGCATTTCTCTGCATTTCTCTGGCCCTCCACTCTGCAGCACAGGCCTTGCTCTCTGCGATCTCTGCGGGCACTGCCTCGAGTCGCTTTCAGGTTGGAGCGTTTGGCTGGGGCCGACAGGAAACTCCGAGGCGCTCAGGGCAGGACTGGCCACAGCAGCAGCTGAATCAACGGGACCAGGATTCCCGACAAGCGCTCCGTCCGCATCTTCTGCAAGAACTTGGCCAGTGAGCCTCACAGAATTTGCAACTTGCGTCCCCGTGCATCTCTCTGCATGGGATCTCAGAGGAGAGCGGACAGCCAGAACGGCAGCAAGCTGGTCCGGTGGATCCTCGGCATGCAAGCTGCTAGCGCGTGAGCGCGTTAAGCCGAACCTGATGAGCTTGGCCTCTTCGGCAGCGCAGGCGCTCTCACTCTCCTCTTCCGCCGCCTCGTGACTATGACCCTACTTGCAGTGCCCGGCGCTGGATGGAGAACGCTGGTCCTGCATGGCGTCGATACGCTCCGGCGATGGCACGGGCCTCTGGAACACGCCATGACACACCGTCACGAGGCAGCACGTACACATCACAGAAACAGCGGAACGACAAGGCAGCCGCCCATCGTTCTCGACATCAATCATGAGTATCTCCGCAGCACGCAACAACACCACATGACACCACACAAGACAAGCGCAAGCACGCGCAAGCATGTCAGATGCCTCCCAGATGCTCTTGGATCTGCTCACGTACCTGTGGCGCTCTGCCTGGCTCACACAGCTATTGCAGAGCTCACCGACATCCCCACCCCAACATACCCGAACCAGACGGATGCTGCCAGGACGTGCAGTTGGGAGAGCAGCGGCCCGCAGACGATTACCTCTGCGACGGCCTGACATGCGCAAAACACACTCCAAACGATGACATGCCGTGATATGCCGTGGGACTCGCCTGCGTTACTGCAGGCTGCCGAAGGGACAGGAGGTCGACCAGGAAGTCCAGCGCGTCCTGAGCAGCTCGAAAATAATATGAAGCGCGAGCTCTGGCATCACAAGCCGGAAAGGGAGGCTCCTCCTCCTTTGCCATCGCAGCTTGCATGGCACTGCACTTGAAGTTGTCCTGCTGCATGGCTGTTGCCATCTGCGCCTCGGTTCTGTCGACATGCTGTCCGCACACTCCCTCATCGCAGAAACCTGGGATAATGCGTGCCAGGCCGCCCAAGCGCGATGCAGCGTATCGGCCAGCTTCGGCAGCAACGTGCTGCTCAAGACCTGCTGCATGGCACGACCAGCCCGACAAATTCGAGGAGCGCCAAGCTGCAGCCTCGACGGCCGCACCGTGCACCTGGTGTAGGGAGCAGTCGCGCTTGTAGAGCGTGTCAAGTGCGTCCCAGTGGCACGAGGATTCTGTGCTTGCAGGAGGCCTGGCAT